GCCTATTCGTGGGTTGGTTTTTCAGCAGTTTTTGTGGGGGACAGCAGTTTCTCTGCTAGATGGCTTCTTTGCAGGTGTTCTTGTGGCACCACCATTGGCATCGGATGATAAAACATGTCAACGAAGACATCATGCAAAATGCGTGATTAAATAGCATAAGACACTTCGTCACCGAAAGTGTTAGATGTGATGTGACACACCTTGACGACAAAGTGGACATCGCCGTTACTGCACGTCATCCTCCTAATGAGTACACTTTAATCGGCCAAACACAGTACGCACGCCGACCAAACCAACAGCGATTATTAGAAGTTACCGTCGTTTTGTGCTTTAAAATGTGCCAAATTCTTTTTCCAAAAGATTAGGGTTGCAGCACGTTTTTATGCTAGTTATCTCCTGGCACAATCAAAATCACGAAAAATGAAACACGTAAGCATAGATTTTAGATGTCTTCACTAAAACAACACAATTGTTCAAGTCTATAGTTCTACTCGCAGGCTAATACTAAGCTACGACAGCTGGTGATCTTGAAATTAATAGAAGCAAGCTCTGCAACTTGTCTTAAATGCAATGATATTAGCTAAAATATCCACGACTCTTAATTCTCTCGTCAACAGAAAGAGTTTTAACGAGACTTATGAGTTCATAGATTGTGTCAAAACATCACGAATTGTACTCTGATTTGTAACTAACTCCAGTAAATTCGACCTCATTCTCCTCGAAAAACTTGCACGATCAATTATCCGCATTTATGTTGGCAGTCATCTAAATGCAGGCTAAGGGGCTGAGGCTGCCATGATCGGGTTAGTAAAGGAATAATCAAAAATCACTAGCATCCTGTCGCAAGTTGTCACCCTCCAGAAACAGTGGCACCTCAGTTAGTGAAATGGGTCCAGTTGCAAGTGTATGGACCATTTGACAATTTTAGCCAGATGACAATCAATTTACAGCTAAATGTATGATGATGGTGTCCACATCACTAATTACGCCTGTGCCATTCCAAGACATTACTAGACATTTAGTCTTCGTGCATGTTTAAAGATTTCATCTAAGGGCCTTCATTGATCAACAAATTCCTTACACATGCACCTGGAATGGCACAACAATTGTTGATAACAACAAGCTATTCATCGCCGTACTTCTGTGTTGGGCAGTGAATTGACACTGTTCAACTATAACTAGTTGCAGTTAAAATCGTTCAATCAATCAGCACTTTCAATATATTGTTGGGACACTTGGTGCTTCTAGGTCCAACGCATTCGTGACCAGTCACAACCGCATTGAGAAGTCATTTGTTATCATTCCACACAATTGATGCAACAACAATAAAGAACTAAGGTTTTGACATCAAAGAATGACAGGATGTTCAGGACTAACGATATGCAAGGATTGCCTATCAATGCTTTTTGGCACTATTTGCACTAATTTCCTAACATGTGTTTTATTACGCTTTTCATCAGGTCAAGGCCAATTGTGATTTGAATCAGTGTACATTTTTGACAAATCACTCGCACGCGGCTAGCGTGATTCATGTTGTGGTAACGAGCCCAGGTCATGTTTTTATTCAATTCTAATCATGGAAATGTCGGTTGTAGCGTCATCAGGCCTCTGGTACCGTTATCTGAGTGGGTGTTTTCGTCTTTTTAGGGGTTAATATAACACCGGATGACGCAAACGCAGTCTTCACTTTCACAGCCTTCCAAATCAGTGCAATATTCGTGCAAAATGTGAATAAGCGGTTTTAGTTACCTCAAATGCCTGAATTTGCTGTGAATTCATCAACATGTTATGACTATGCTCGTTAATACGGCAGATTCAGGATACGACAAGCCAATTTTCACGGAACATTCCGGTATTTGCAATGCGATTTTGCACACACACTGTAAATTTGTTCACTCCACTCACGGCCACACCTTAAAGAAAAATCACTGACTGTGACAATGAAATTCACTTCTGTGTCCTTCAGTGGAACAACCTTCTGTGGCAAGTGTGCTTGCCATTAATACCAATCCGAACCTCCTTGGTCAGGATTGGTTCAAGCTATTGGGTTCGCCTGACATCTCAATCAGCTCCATCTGCACTTGCCGACAGCGCATTGCGAGAATATCGCGACATCACTGATATACGTCACAAGCCAGCCTTTTTCTGTCGACAGACGCTAAACCGGTATTCTGTTGTAAATATCAGCCCTCTGCGCACTGTTCCTGCTGGTTGACGCTAAGTTAGAGCATCTTGAACACGAAAGCGTCCTCTCCCTGGTATGATGCTCAGCCTCCGCGGTCCCAGTCGTTTTGGCAACCAAGAACATTGGCTCCATTTGGATTCACCCTCACTTTTCTACATTTCTAAATGCAGGTCTTGAATAACACAACAATCTTATACACAAATCTGATCGGCGGAAGATATTTCTTAAATCTCAGTGGTCGAAGATACTTCGCAAAATTTGAGCTGGCCGATAACTTCCTACAGGTGAAAGTATCTCTAGAGTCCCGCTCACTGCTTAATATCAATTACCATCCCCGCTTATTCTAATGCAACCACCTACACTTTGGTGTCAAGAAGGCTCCTGATATTTTCTAGCAATTCATGGACATTTACACGGCTGGCATTTCTGGAGTGGCAACATACCTCCATGACCTACTAATCGCAGCTAGTTTACAAGACGAGTTACCCAAAACAACGGACTCAAACCATGTTAAGACAAATGCTAGTTCTTACTGACGTCAGTCAAGTATCTGGGTGTGACCTTTGGTACTGGAAAAATCAGCGATTTGTAACAAATGCTGACTCCTACAAATGTTCCCTCACTGTACACCTTCTTAAGTCAAACAAGCTTATACTCCTGTTTTCTGCAGTCAATGCACAATTTGCGACCACCACTCAATCACCTGCTGGCAATGGACGTAACTTGGGATTGGTCCAACAAGTTCGGTGAGTCGAGGAATAAATCACCGATATTCCACCTACCACAAACGTGCATTGTGATGACACATTTGTGCGTGAAATTTATTCGCGTTGGGCCGATTACTTTAAGAGTTCCTATATTCGGATGAAATCCTTTATGTGCAAAATTATCTCTATGCACTAAACCAGCAAACTTTGCAGATCACATTTTAGTCATTTTGCAAATATGTTAGACGAAATTAAGTAATTGCAGCAACGTGTAATTTTTACATAAATACTAAAAACGTGATCTCAATGTGACTATTTGGATGAATTGGTGAAAGCGCAAAGGTATTGTATTGCAACCTAGATGGCAGACAAAAACGAAGCCAACCGCAGATCACTTGAAGTAAATCGGGAATGATGACTTCTGTTTTATCTCTGTTTATGGACTGGAACATAGCCAGGTCATATATATCTGCTTGTCATCTATCACATTTTATTAACCTTAAAAATGGAAGCAATGTCCACGCTTGACATCTAATCGTTCTGCATTAAGGCAAGCACACAATTCATTTTTTTGAAAATAACAGGAATAAGGACGTAGATATCAGCGTAGTGATACAGCTGCCATCATCTGATGATTGAACGATCTGAACAGTGAATGTTAAAAAAGAGAATAAGCAGTAGGTGGAGACGCTACATGTCTGTGGTATGCTTTATGTTCTGCACGAATTCGCATTCTTAGTGGTCCCTACGGATAACATTCTACTGATAGCCTCATTGGACTTTTTCGACACAACCATCCGAAACAATTTTCAACTGCGTGCAAGCTGTTTAAATGTTGTGCAGCAGCAGCTGATACCAATGCTAAATAAGTCAGTCTAGTCTAGAAGACTTGTGGCCTTTTCAGCTAAAATACCCATTACCAGAAATTAACTGCGTTTTGTTGTGTTTGGGGCTTTCTACATAATGAATCCCCTTGCCTTAATTGTAGTCCTGCCAATAATAATTAAAACACCATCCACTTGCTCTTAGGCGATAGTAACCTGTATCAAAAATCACGTCGTGCTGCGCAATCCCACCATCCAGGTCACCTTTGAAGTTAGTCAGAACAAGTTGTCGATTTATCAAATCGGTAATATTGCGTAATAGTAGCAATAACAATGAGTATGAATGGAGGCATATATGCATAAATGATGTAACAACAGCAAGTATGATGTCTGCCTACATCACACACATGCACAAATAGTTAAAAAGTCATTAACCATCGAGTCGATTATCAAAATTGCCATCAGTTTGTCATCAAAGAGGGATTAAACAGAGTTTCAAGAACATATACGAAAAACGAAAAGCGATTTCGCGATTACACACGAAAAACGCAGATTGTCTATACGTGGATAAAGTGGCATTGGCTGCCATATCCACAAAACCCCATTCGAGTGAACATCTCACACTCCTTCGTGCGATACTTTGGGTGATTTTGCGGTAGCCGCAGTTCATTGATTCCGTGGGCGAATAGACAAGTTTCACCCGATAGGCATACGCCATGGCGTTCATAATGTCTACACAATCTTGTTTTGTATAACACATTCTGGTGTGCACTTGTGTGCCTCGGATATATTAAAATATGCATTGCTGGTCGCCGTTGTAGCAGCTGCGAATTTGACCACAAAGGCTCTTCTGAATTTCGCATTTGGCTGTTCCCGCGTCCGAGTATGGGCCGGTATCTTGGCATCTGTTGTGTTATCTGTAATCTTTCGGACGAATGGTAATATGCAATGTTCATTGATGTTGTTTGAAAAGTTTTAGATACAAATTTTTCCCTTCCATCTGGTTCAAACCCGCTAGAAGCAGCCGGTCGAATATTATTAAAAGAAATTTCAAGCATTGCAGATTCGTCGATCTCATTGTTGCGAAAGCGGTCTTCCTCCTGTATTGTGACTGTATTTGCACGATTTGCATGCCACAAGGAATCACCCATATTCATGTCAAATTTTGACTGAATTTTAACTCGGTCGCTGCTTTATATATATGACGAGGTGACCTAAGTAATCCAAAGATGTAATCCGAAAAGCTTTAGTTATCAAAGCCGAACGTGTCTTTTCGGCATCACTGTGCAACTCATGGCTTAGATTTCTAGCACCTTTTATTCTGCAAAACTGTATATCAGCTTTACTGTCATCCTTCAGTAAAGAAATCAAAAAGCGCACAACATCATGACAAAGGAATATGTTCCCTAATTTATCCACAATTTACAAGTACTGGGGTACACAAAACTGTATTTTACGGGAACAAATTTATTTATCTTCCACTTTAACTCGTGGATGCTACTACGTGACTACAGTAAAATGCATTTTCTATGCTTTATAAACCTTGTATTAAACATTAATGCGTCACTTTAAATTCGATGACTTTGGTACCATCGTGGTATTTTTGCGTTCGTAAATGGTCAGCTATGATAATGATCTGTTTAGATTATGCTGCCAATTTATGGCAACAACACCATTTTCAAAGCATTTACATGAAACCGATACGTGAAACCGCTACTGCTGAACATCGACAAAAGGATACAGGAATTATATCACCCATTTCACTGACATTAAAAGTGTAAATAATGTCTGTACTTGAAAGATAGTTGTTCACTCAATTTGAGATAAGAAGAAGAGCACGGATATCAACAAGGTGATACAGCTGCCATCATCTGGTGAGTGAACAATCTGCAGAGCAAAGGCTAAATTTAGAATAAGCAGGAGATGTTTACGTGAAATATTCGCTGAAGGCTATAAGGAATGCCTCCATTGGCCCAGTCAACGATGTCTGCAGACACGCATCAACTCGTAGCGTAGCCCAAATGACGTCGAGCAGTTGCTCAAAAATTGTGCAACGCTAGACACAAACCCCGAATGTCTTGTCTCGAATACTGGTGGGCTTTTCGGTCAAAATGCCCACCACAACGCAAAAAACGTGCTTGGTTGACACCGTACAGTGTTTGTGATTTTCCTGCAAAACGATCTTTACTAGATAAACTAGGATAATTGGTACCAACAGTTTAAGCACCATCCGGGTGTTTTTGGCCTACGCAAACCAGCTTCACACATCACGTCGTGCTGCAGAATCGCACTCTTCACGTTACCTTTGAAGTAAATCAGATCGACTTGCTGATAAATCTATTCAGCTTTATTGAGTCATGATAGCGCTAACAATATATGAGGGATACAACAACAGCAAGCAGGATATATATCTACAATACGAACATACACAAGGGACCTATGTGTACGTCAAAGGCATTCCCCGTCTTACAGGCAATCTGCCGTAACGAGAAGCCGATTATAAAATTGTTACTAGTGAATAGGGCAAATGTACTTGGCATTTTACTTAGTAAGCCATACACTTATACCAAGATAGTGTGAAATGCCTGGTACTAAAAGTCCTGAATAATCCTTTTATACTGTCCAAGGTCAAAACTATTAATATTTTCTGCATCACGCGTTGTTGCTTTCTACTTTGAAGTATTTCAGAATATTGGTGTGTTTAAGCAGCATAATCTTGGAGAAACTGTTTAGCTAGAGGTTAATGAGGTTATTTATAGTAACGAGCTGGTGGACAGAGAGCTCAATAAATTATCTGAATATCTCCACGAGGTTACGTAATCAGAAGATGAGAAACAGCTAATCGGTCGTTCTGTGTTGTGGTGTTGTCAAAGGCAAATTTGCACCTGATATTTGTTATGGCCAAATCAAATTTATGACTGCGTTGTTTGCAAGGGTTATGTTGGTAAGAATGAACTTAGCCTGGCCCTGTGCTGGGCATTAATTACATGTTCTTTTAGGCAGGCTTAACTCTAACACGGCGAAAGCCACAAATTGTTGTAATGTACAGCAAAAACCGTCTTCGAACAGAGCGTGGGTGTTAGTTGGTGAAGCAACAGCATGCCATTGCACGCAGCAGGCAACGGCGAGGCAAACCAGATTTGAAATGAGACAACGACTAATATATGGCCTTAAATTTGTTCCTGTTTTTGTTACCTTAAATTCTGCACTTAATGCAAAGAATCATGTAGATTAATTTCCTCATTTTGTTACGTACAATAGAGGTTGAAATGTTCTTTTAAAGCAATGGTCGCATTCCGGTAATTAAAGATGCAGCAGGTGGTTATTTGCAAATCGTTTGAGTGTTTTTCTTGTGAATGGAGAAATGCAGCGGTTGCATTAAAATTGTGGCTTGCACTTTTGACAACGTGGTGCAATTTTTGGCAGAAAAAAATGTCATAATGTGGCAAATTCTCACTAGCTTTAATTGAAGCAAGGCAAATAGTGTTTGCTGTAGCTTTTTATAAATTATCAGAGATGTGGTTAAAAGCTCTGCCAAAATATCGCCTGACAACACGGTCTAGATATGTAGGTTTACAATGAACTCGCTTCAAGCATTGAAACCTTCTCATCCAATCCTCTTACCGGGGTATCTATTTAGAGCATTTTAAGCAGATGACGAGTGATTGTTTCATTGCAGAAATATCCTCTCCTCTAACGTATCTTCAGGTGATGCGTTTCTGATGGAATAATGGCGGCCTACTCAGGCAGTTAAAAGAACCATTTTTTGAAATCAAATGCATGATCATGCAGCATATTTTGGTTTGGATTTAAATGCTGAGCAAAGTTTTGTGCATGTGCAGTAAGTTTGCAACAGTTCCAATTATTTAGTCTGATTTAGTCATGTCACAATGCACAGCATCTCTTCTGTGAAATAAATAATATTTGTCTAACTGAATAATTGTACAAAATGCACACAGGATTCGTCACATACAATGTGTCTGTTAATAAACCTCTGCTTTTAATATCTTGGATCTTACCCAAGTTCATTATGCGCAATCGAATAAGTTTCATGGTATATGATTAGTTTCAATGCAATAGGCCCTTGTGATTACTAATGTGTACCAAAGAAACTCACTACTTATTCAATGCATAGTAGATGTAGATTTATTGAGCGACATGCAAAGACATTTGAAGCCAACGTACTCACCAGTGACAGGCCATGGATCGTGGACAATGATCAGACGAATTAGCAAAATGCCTAAGGATAGATAACAAGACCAGATTCTTGTATTGCTGTATACACTTGTTGTTATTGTGTACAGAAATGCAAAGCCATGGACACAAGGTTGGATTCTGTCTAACATGAGTGGACGGTAACTCCACCTACTCAAATAGAAAAGCTAAAAAGCCAAACCAATGCATCTCTCAACTTACAGGTCACCTTTATCGTCATCATCCTGACGGCACAGAAAAGCCCATAATGAACGCATCCAGGTCGCTAACAACGACAGAAAGACGTTTCAGACAGATTTAGAAAGAAGCTCGCGCTTCGGTTTTCGCTGTCCGCCCTTTCCATATTCTCGTTTATGGCCACGATTACATCTTCTGACAGATCACAAGCCGCTGCTGTCCATTTTTGGATTATAAACAGGCATTTCAATTCACTCTTGCAGACCGCAGGCAAAAGATGGCACAGATTCGACTGGGCAATGATTTCGTAATCCAGTACCGTCGAACAGAGGGTTTTGGGTAGGAAGACGCCCTGTCGTGGCTAGTCGTTAACCAGTCTACCACCAAGGAAAATGCCGCCATCTACGTCGACAAAGGTTACAAAGAGAAGACATCACAAACTATCCGTGCGTTTCCGCTTTTGATTCTCGACATCAAACAGGAAACGGCCATGGACGACACACTACGGCAGGCCACCCATTGCGTCTAAGGCAAATGACTCAAAAGCTTCCTCACCGCCGATCTTCAGCAGCTGTTCCAGCGCTGCAATTCCCTTTACATTATGAACGGCCGCTTGATGATCGAAGAACGCGTTTTTTGCTCGAATCAGGCAATTTGACATAAAATTTGTACTTTGTTTCACTTAGCCATACTGCAGCTAAAATGTCCGTCAACAAGAACTTTGGCAAACGTTAACGGCATAATTGATTGATTTCTCATCCCACATAAGCTTACTTCGTTGCAGAGCAAATGTAGCACACCTTGCAGATTTTTAAGTTAAGTATTTATTTTGTCTGACAGTAAAAGTTAGACTATTATGCACTGCTAATGTTTTGTATTCTAACTTTCGGCAGAAATACGAGACACGTTCTTCTGGCATAGTAACTAAAACTACCAGGCCAACTTACCTATTTTTAAACAGTGGACATCTAAATGACACGCATTTAACACAAGCAAATTCGTCACATTTATAAAAAAAACCTTATAGTTTATCTGGACAACCTCATGCACATCTGCTGCAAAAGTATAATGGCAGCAGTGACGGGCACAAGCTTATACTAAATACGTATTTTATAATCCGTCGAATTTTTATGCCGTCGCATTGTGTGCCTAATTAGGTCTTACCTTAAGGCACATGCTTCATTGTCAGGCAAGTAAAAACTGTTGCCAACACTAGAATAATTATGTTTTAACCCTTCTTTATAAGTTAAATATATTTAGACTCTAGCGTTTTACGCTTCGTTTTTACGCAGCATTACTGTAGACTTCTTTGCACACCGTTAATGTGGTACGCTCGATTACATTTGAAATGATTCACTATATATGCGATAAATAACATGGCTATCGTGGGATTTATTATTTATGCTTGTAAATGTTTTGCTAAATACACATTTGGTCAAACAGTACATGCTAACTTATTATACACTGTTGATGATTTGTATTCTAACGTTTGGCAGACATGTGGATTGGAAGTCAAGCTGTTTATTACAATTCACCTACAGGATATAGTTTACTCATATTTGGCGTTTGCTCTATTTAGGCACTGTGCAAGGGTACTGCAGTTGGCAAAAAGGCGATGCTGAACATCCGATTTACATTTCATTGGATTAAGCACGAACTCTAATGCAATTGTACAATTGCTTCAGAAGTCAAAATACAAGCTGCATTTCTCTTGGTCTAAAATAGCACGTTGATTCAAAGTGTTAAGTAAATCTAGTAGTTCCTTTTCAATTGGTTTTTTAAAGTGAAGTGTAAAGCGGTCCTATCTAGCAACCTATGCTATGATCAGAAATCCTGTAAAAACCGAGTAGTTCTTAATTAACACAGACAGTATCTGCAATTCCTTTAATCAATAAGAATACAATGTATTCGGCATCAGTTTATGTTATTCGCACCGCCACAGATGGCAGCATAAATTACCTGTACAATCAGTTACGACAAAATCACTAATGTCAATTGAGTGGATGTTTCGCTGACGACGTTCTCGCTTGCAAAATAAGTTACCTACTTACACATTTCAAGTAAACAGAGCACTGTATACCTTTTTTTATCTAATCCTTACAAGTAATCAAACAGTGATTTCTAAGGGCCTCCGTTTTTCTCTTACCACCATGGAAAACTTTAAACACTATTTACTTTCCAATTTCCCTTCATGCTTCTCCATTGTTTTTTAGGGAATTTAGACCAACGCTTACTAACCCGAGGTGGCTGTCAGTCCACTACAACACAGCTACTATCATCTGATGAGTGAACAATCTGCAGAGCGAAGGTTAAATTTAGAATAAGCAGCAGCAGGTTACGTGAAATGTTTGCGGCAGGCAATATGCCATGGCTTTACTCCCCTTGTCAACAATGTCTACAGATACGCATCAACTTGCAACCTCAGGGGTGTTTCGCATCATAAGTACCCAAAACCCTTCCTAACTGCAGACGTTAAGGTAATCGAAAACTGTGCAACACCAATCTGACGTCAAGCTGACTGACGGACTAGTAGACTCTTCTGTCAAAATGCCCACCAACGCACATAAAGTGCGCTTTGTTGACATCACGCAGTGTTTGTGGATTCCTGCACAGTGACCTCGAATTATTACATTAGAACACTAGTCATTAACCGTTAAAGCACCATCCACGAGTTCTTGGCCTGTGATAACCAGCACCACCTATCATATCTCGCCGCACAATCCCTCTATGCAGGTAAATTTTGCAGCAAGGCAGATCAAGTTGTCGATCCATAAATCCAGCTTTATTGAGTCATGATAGCGCTAACAATGATCATGTATGGAGAAATATATTAATGAGGAAAACAACAAAAACAACGACGACACGTAGCACTTCTGTCTGCTGCACACCTGACCAAGGCGCATATTCATGGATAAAAGGGCACTGGCCAACGTACCAGCAATCTGCCATAAATTGAAGTCGAATATCAAAATCATCACCCGTATGTCATGAAAGAGGGATTAAACAAATATCAAAAACATGTACAGGCAAACGATGTTACAGCCATGAACATACCAGAGTAAAACACATGAAGAATGCAGAGAGCCTATTAGTAGTTAAATTGGCATTCGTTGCCATTTCGGCAAAGTCCCGTTCGTGTGAACTTCGAGGACACCTTCGTACGATACTTGGGGTGATTTTGCGGAGAGGAGAGATTGACACTTTTCTTGACAATCTAGCAGTGGTCACTTAAGAGTGTCTGGAAAGCCTTTTCAAATCAATGAATGATAACCAGCTCTACGCTCTCGTTTTCATTTGCAGCATTCGAATTTCTTAGTACACGCGGCTGTTACATCTGATCGATCGAAATCTCCCTGTGACGCCTCAGATTATGTGAAGTTGTACTAATACAAGCAGCTACGACGCTAGAAATGCAAAGCCATGGTTCAAAAAAACAGATTCTACTGACCATCCTCGTCCAACATGAGTGGACATCACCTCCACCTTCTCAAAAAGAAAATGTCAGAAGCCAATCCAGCCAGCTCGCACTACCATCGCAGCCCTTAACCTACAGGTAACCATCAAAGAAACTCTACAACAGGAGGCGATGCATATAACTGTCCTCATAATGGCCATTCTCTTCGTCTGCTGTTAGACATAGCCTCGGCCGTAACCATTACCTCGGAGAACCAATGGCACTCCTTTGGTCGTCCTTCACCCAGGGCCACCTCCCAGGGGACATCAGACCCTGTGACTGTGAAATTCACTTCCGCTAATAAATGCAATACTGTGTGTCCTTTGAAGAAACAACCCCCATTGGCAAGTGTGTTTGTCATCAACGCCAAACTGAACCTCGTTGGTCTGGATTGGCTCGAACTATTGGGTTTACCTGATATCCCGAATAGCTACATCTGCAACACCCAACAATTGTCGAAAGCGCCCTCCAAAAATATCGCGGACATCGTAATCCACTTCAGCAAAATTTTCCAACCTAGATTGGGACACCGATTGACGACATAGGCCAGCCTTCTTTTGTGCTGGACGCCAAACCGGTATTTGAGCAGACAAGATCAGCCCTCTGCGCATTGTAACTATCCATAATAGGAAAAAATAACATTTTAGTTTTGGGTTCTTGAACAATGATCCATGGGATCTTATTCCCTGAATAGACCAATGATTTGAGACTTCAAATTGATTCTAGTTTTCGAAGATTTTCTGCTAAACAAGTGATCTAAGTGTGACTATTTTGAATTAATTGGTAAAGGCGCAAATGCATTGCCGTGTAAATAAGAAAAAAAACAACTGCGGATGACTTGCAGTAAATCGAAACGGGCGGCTTCTGATTTGTCTCTGTTTATTGACTGAAACGTAGACAGGTCATATATATCTGCCTGTCGACTACCTCATTTTATTGACCTTAAACACGGAAGCAATGTCGACACTTGACATATACCCGTTCTGCATAAACGCGAGCACACCAATCACTTAATTTGAGGTACGAAGAAGAACATGAATATCAGTGTGGTGACGCAGCTGCCATAATGTGATGAGTAAACAATCTGGGCTGTGAAAGGTAAAAAGGTAGAATAAGCAGTAGGTGGTGTCATGAAATGTCTGCATTAGGCAATATGCCATGCCTTTATTTGCCTTGTCAATAGGGTCTACAGATACCATTCAACTATTAGCCTCTTTGGCGTTTTACGGCATTATTGTCCGAAACCATTCCCACAGAAGAGTAGCGCAGTTATCTAAATATTTTCTAGCACCAGATGATATCAACGCCAAATAAGAAGATCCAGTCTGGAAGACCTGTGGCCTATTCAATTGAAATACCCACTACCACAAAAATCCTGTTTTAGTTGACGTAGAGCTGTGTTTAGGGCTTCCTACGAAATAAACCCTAATTGGTGGTATGGTAACCAGTATCAAGCATCACGTCGTGCTGCACAATCCCACTATCCAGGTTATCTTCGAAGTAAGTCAAAACAAGTTGTCGATTTATCAAATGGGAAATATTGAGTCATAATAGCAAAAACAATATGTATGTATGGAGGCAGATGTGAATAAATGATGCAACAATAGCAAGCAGGATATCTGTCTATATCACACAAATATACAAAATTAAAAAACAGTGATTGGCCGTCTTACCGATAATCAAAATTGTCATCAGTTTGTCATCAAAGTTTGGTCTTGTATAACACATTCTGCTGTAAGTTAAAGCGCCTCGCGGGTCTTGGAATCTGGGTTCATGGCTGTCGTTGTCATTGATGTGACTGTATTCGACCCCGATGGACCCTCCGAATTCTCCACGTGGTCGTTTCCACGTCTATGGATGGGCCCAGGTTTTGGCGCCTGTTGTGCTTCCTGCAACTGTGTAGATGACGATTCCTGTGGAGGATTTCTAGTTGAAGGCTCGTAGAGTTTCATGCATTAATGCTTACCCTGCTGTGGGGTTGGTTCCTCCCAAATGAGTCTGCTGCATTTCGCGTGCCCAACATAAAATCTGATCTTTTGGGTCATTTAAATGATTTCCACTACGCATTGATGCGGCATGTTGAGTGTGTGCTTTCCACAACGCAGACTCGATCTTATCCATCTCCGCACCCGTCGACTCCTGCTCAACACGGTTGTGCGACGACTGTTGTGAAGACGTCCTAGTTGAAGGCTCGTGAATTCTTACATATGAATGCTTACCCTGCTGCTGGACTAGGTCCTCCCGAGATAGTCTGTAGCATTTCATGTATGTTTAATCGTAACGAATCTGCATCCTGGGCTTGAGGGTTGGGCAGAAGCTGTCCATTACGTATTGATTCTATATGTTCTCTGAATGCTTTCCACGACAACTCTTTCTCATCCATTACAACCGCAGGCGACCCACGCTTAGCGCGATCAAGCGGCTCTGCTTATGTACGAATTCCTGAGTCGATATCAGAAAGGATACAGTGTTCAGTGTGAAATGTGTTCTCCTACCCTCAAATTGCTCTTCACAACTCAGTTATGATTCTCACTCAGCAAACACTCATGACGAGATCTTCGATTTGCAACAACTCGCCACCGTTGCACCTCACCTAAGAAGGGGCGGACTTGAAGCTCATAAGTTGATTTTGTTATAAAAAATCAGCTATTTGAAAATGTTACAAATGAATTGTTAGCTGATATTCCAGATTTACTTGATTGCAGATTCACGTCGCGAGGCACGTTCTTTCTTTTTGCCTTTTGTGTCATTGCTCTCTTAGTGTTTCTTTCGATCCCTGAAGGCATCCAAGACCAACGCATTGAATTGCAACTATGTTGCTTTTTGAAGTATTGTTTGTTATGACAAATCTCAATACCTGCTGCAAAAATACTTTACTTCCAACATAGTAGGCTCTAGCTAATGGATCGACGGGGAAAAAAACATAGCATGTGGGGAGTGTTTGTTACTTCAGAGCATGTTGCTTAAAACCACGGCAAGTCAGTTATGATATTCGTTCAGAAGACAGAAAACACTGGTGAAATGTTAGATTCTTTAGGTCAAATACATGGAGTGCACTTTCAATGCCACTGACTTTGTGCAATTTTTTGATTGCACATCCAGTGCATCGTGCTGTATATCGTGTTGCATATTTCTGATTAGCTCAGGAACGTTCGAAAATCGACTTTATTAATAACAGAATGGAGTTGACCAAGCAAGAAATAAGTGCTTAAAATATTGTTATGATTGGCTAGTGCACCTATTCAAGCTAAAACTGAATGCATGTTGCTTTTCTTGTGTGGCATTAATCATGCATTAAGTACCCAGAATTCTGTCATAAATCCGATGCAGTACACTGGTATTTGTTGAAAACTTGAAGCGTTTTTTTTAGCACAAGTACATTATACATATTTGTTTATCGTCTTTGACAGACTGACAATGAAAATACTGGGAGGAAATAAACAGAATTAGTGCTAAATTTGATAAGTAAACTCTGAATTAGCCAGCTATGCAATATTAATCAAACGCAGCTTTGATTACAGAAAAAGGAGAGGGTTAATGCGGATAAGGTATCAAATACAACGAAGTCAAAGCAGGACACGTATATACCGGCGTCAAAAGACTCTATGATCGGAGCAGCTAATCGGGTCACTTTTATTCACGCAGCAATAGTAACAATGCATTTCTGCTTTCTTTATTTAGTTAGTGTTTTGATGTACATAATAGTGCAATGCATGCACCCTTGTGGAAATCATTGAACTCCGTGTTCAGTACGTCGTCAATGTCTTCAGGGGCTGGTGACGACCCGACCTTGGGAGACATTTATTTCTAACATAGCCAAAGATCTAGACACAAATGGCGGTAAAAACGACATTAAGGACCTGCTTGGATACATTGCTGGAACGAATAACACTGACTGATCCGTTGGTTACGTGAGAAACATTCAGCCTGACTGGTGAGTTGCGATGGCGTGGACAGAGCTGTGCAAATAGAGTTCACATATAGTGAGTGTTGAGAATGTTGCTACGGTGAGTTCTGACATCATCAGGAAATTGTACTTACTAAATATTTGCAGCGCCTATTCGTGGGTTGGTTTTTCAGCAGTTTTTGTGGGGGACAGCAGTTTCTCTGCTAGATGGCTTCTTTGCAGGTGTTCATGTGGCACAACTATTGCCGTGGGATGATAAAGCATGTCAACGAAGACAACATGCAAAATGCCTGATTAAATAGCATAAGACACTTCGTCACCGAAAGTGTTAGATGTGATGTGGCACACCTTGACGACAAAGTGGACATCGCCGTTACTGCACGTCATCCTCCTAATGAGTACACTTTAATCGGCCAAACACAGTACGCACGCCGACCAAACCAACAGCGATTATTGGAAGTTACCGTCGTTTTGTGTTTCAAAACGTGCCAAATACCTTTTTCGATAGATTAGGTTTGCAGCACGTTTTTGGTGCGAATTATCTCCTGCCGACCTACTACTGGATTATGGCACTAGTTGACAATCAAAATAATGAAAAATGGAACACGTAAGCATTGATTTTACATGTCTTCACTGAAACAACGCAATTGTTCAAGTCTAAAGGTCTGCTCGCAGGCTAATACTAAGCTACGACAGCTGGTGCCCTTGAAAAAAATGGAAGTAAGCTTTACAACTTGTCCTAAATGCAATGATATTAGCTAAAATATCTACGACTCTCGATTCTCTCGTCAACACAGAGAGCTTTAACAAGACGTGAGGTCACGCGTGTCACGTCCATGGCGTGTTATCTTGTGTCAAAAACATCACGAATTTTTATCCTATTTGTTACCAACTCTAGTAAATACGACCTAATTCCCCTTGATACATCTGTACGAACAAATATCCGCATGTATGTTAATAAATGTTGGCAGTCCTCTAAATGTTAGATTTAGGGCTGATGCTTCGATGATTAGTTTATTAAAGGAATAACCAGAAATCAATGCTATCTTTTTAACATGTTGGCACCCTTCAGAAACAGTGGCACCTCAGGTAATGAACGGGGTCCATTTTTGAGTGACGGCAGCATTGGAATATTTTTGTCCTATGACATTCAATTTAAGTCTAAATGCATCCTAATGGTGTCCAGGTCACAAATTATGCCTGTGTGATTTCATGATCTTATCAGAAATGTAGTCTTTTGCGCTTGTTCAAAGATTTCATCTGAGGGCCTTAATTGATCAGCATCACCTCACACATGAACCAAGAATGACACAACAATTGTTGACACCAGCAAACTTTTCAACACCGTATTTCTGTCGTTGCTAGTTAATTGACACGGTTAAACTATATCTGACTGCAGTTAACATCGTTTAATCATTTTGCACTTTCGAAGTTAATGCAAATGAAAAATTATTCTTGGTGTTTATGACTATATCTACAACTCAGGCTCAATTCTATGACAAGGAATCCAGTTGAGATAAAAATGGCATTTATTTCTTGGTCAATGATTAATTTTTATACATGACTATGAAATTGCATTTACATTGAATATGACACAGGCGAGGCACGATGACTTGTCTTACCAACGTACCCCTTGTCAACCATTTGTGTCCCATCGCAGAGATAAGATAATGTTCGTTGTAAGAGTACGTGGTTCAATAAATGCACTAATCCGTTATTACTACAGTAAAGATCACACCCTAAATTGGCCAAAATAAATGTTGTTGGGGCACCTGGTGCTACCAGGACTAACGCATGCGCTACCAGTCAAAACCACATGGGCATAGCATTTTTTATCCTTGTTCACTACTGATGCAACAACATTAAAGTATTTGGCTTGTAACTTCCAGGAGTGACAGGATGTTAGGCATCAACGATACCTTAAGATCGCTGACCGCTGTTTTATGCCTCCTTTTGCAATAAATTCCTAAAATGCGTTTTTTTTCACTTTTCATATGGTCAAGGTCAACCTTGGCTCGAATGAGAGTACAATTTTGACTACTCACTTACAACTTGCTGCCACGATTAAAGCTCTCGTCATGAGCCCTAGTCATGTTCTTGTTCAATTATGACCGTGGGAGATTTGATAAAGGTCTATAGAGATTTTACTCTCGATTTACGGCAACGACACCGTTTTCACAGCATATATCTGAGACCCAATTGTGAAATAGCCATTGCGGATAATCAGCAAACGATATGCGACTTGGTACATGTTCATTTCTGTCAATTTTTGAGTCACGGCTAAGGTGTGGTGTTCATTTCGATCCCTGAATGGCCCTAGATCACCGCATTGACTTGCTTGTATGTGACTGATCAAAGTACGTTTGATATGACAAATCAACAATGCCTTCTGAAAGTGTTCATCAGTTACCTACTTAGTGAACATTAAGTATTGTTTCGACTGGGCAAAAGAGCTGGCGTGTAGATAAGCTGCATTACTGCCGAGAATGTTATTTTGAACAACGGCAAGTTGGTCCTGAGAATGAGTTAAGCGAGGTAAGACAATGAAGGAAGGCTAGCTCCTTCTTCGTGCCGAAGAGTGCGATGTGCTCTTTGGTTGAAATGCCCACCACGAAAAAAAAACCCGCGCAGTGGTCGAAGCTTCCTGCGGAAAGACTCTGCTTGCTATAATACTAGACTGGCTAGCAATAGTCAAATCTCTCAGGCTATAATAACCAGCACCACATATCACGGCTTACTGACAATTTCACCATCCAGGTTACTTTAGAAAATAAGTCTGAACAACTCGTCTATTTATCAATTCAGCTTCATCGATTCACGATAGCGGCCAAAATGAGAATGTATGAAGGCAAATTGGAATGAATGATGCACCAGCAAGAAGAATGCTATTTGTCTATAACACCCACATACACAAAGGCTAGTGTTTACGGGTAAATGGTATTGTCCGACGTCCTGGCAATATTCCGCAATTGCAAGCCAATTGTCAGAATTGTAATCAGTTTGTCATTAAATAAAGATTAAAAAATATCAAAAACATATACGGACAAACAATGTTATAACTAGGAACATATCAGCGTAAAACAAATGAAGAACGCAGAATGTCTATTTGTGGATAAAAATGCATTTGTCACCAAATCGGCAAAGTCCCATTATTGTGAACTCCATGCAGTCCTTCGTGCGATACCTAGGGTGATCTTGTGGTTGCCGCAGTTCATTGATTCCGTGAGCAAACTGACAAGATTCACCTAATATGCATGAGCCCTGTCGTTCATAATATGTACAGAGTTTTGTCTTGTATAACACATTCTCCTCTGCGCTCAAGCGCCTCGAGTTTCTTAGAATAAACATTGCTCGTCGTTGTTGTCGTCGAGACACTGTAGATAACGCCGAAGGACCCTCCGAATTTTGCATTTGTTCGGTCCCAGGTTCGATTATGGGTTGTTGCGTTTGCGCCTCTTGTGCTGCATGCAACTGTACAGACGACGACTGTTGAGGAGGATTCCTGCTTTTAGGCTCGTAAAGTTTAATGAATTAATGCTTACTCTGCTGTTGGACTGATTCCTCCAGAGTTAGTCTGCTGCATTTCATGTTGGTTTAACGGCGTCGAACGTGAACTCCGGGCTCGAGGGTTTCGCCGACGCTGTCCATTCCGTATTGATTCTATATACTCTTTGAATGATCTCCACGCCGACTCGTTCTCATCCATGACAACCACTGGCGACTAGCGCTTAGCACGGTCGAGCGACCGTGCTTATATTCGATTTCGTGAGGTCTTATCACAGAGGATTTAGTGTTTAGTGTGAAACGTGTTCTTCTACCTTCAAATTGCTATTCACAAATCAGATATCTTGTGACTCAGTCAAAACTCATGACAAAATCAGCTTTTGGCTAAAATATTCACGACTCTTAATAATCTCGTCCACAAAGAGAGCTTTAACAAGACTTGTGAGGTCACGCGTGTCACGTCCATGGCGTGTTATCTTGTGTCAAAAACATCACGAATTTTTATCCTATTTGTTACCAACTCTAGTAAATTCGACCTAATTCCCCTTGATACCTCTGTACGAACAAATATCCGCATGTATGTTAATAAATGTTGGCAGCCCTAAATCTAACATTTAGATTTAGGGCTGACGCTTCGATGATTAGTTTATTGAAGGAATAACCAGAAATCAATGCTATCTTTGTAACATGTTGGCACCCTTCAGAAACAGTGACACCTCAGGTAATGAAAGGGGTCCATTTGTGAGTGAAGGCACCATTGGAATATTTTAGTCCTATGACATTCAATTTAAGTCTAGATGCATCCTAGTGGTGTCCAGGTCACAAATTATGCCTGTGTGATTTCATGATCTTATTAGAAATGTAGTCTTTTGCGCTTATTCAAAGATTTCATCTGAGGGCCTTAATTGATCAGCATCACCTCACACATGCACCAAGAATGGCACAACAATTGTTGATGACAGCAAACTTTTTAACATCGTATTTCTGTGCTGGCTAGTAAAATGACACAGGTAAACTATATCTGATTACAATTAAAATCGTTCGATCAATTTGCTCAATCAAATATTTCGGAAACTGATACATTAGTTTCTGTGTTTTTTTACTATATCTGCTACCCGGAGTCATTTTCAATGAAAAAAGCTTGCTGATGCAAGAAAATGCTTCGTTTTTTAATGGCTGATCATTATTTTTTTTACCAGGACTGTGAATTCGCCTAACAGACACAAAGGTTTAAAGCGCAATCTTGCTAAAACTTCGTGAAACCTTGTTTTCTATACCTGCAGTTACATCGAATCTGGCACACACGAAAGTAACGCTCGTCAACTATTTTTATCCAATCACAGAGACATGATGATACTCTTTGTAAGAGCACGTGGTTCAATGAATGCACTGATTTGTTACACTGCAGTAGTGATCAAACTCTAAATTGTGCAAAATAAATAGAATTAGGGCATTTTATGCTAATAGGACTAACGCATGCGTGAAGAGTCACAACCGCAAGCAGATGTACACAACTGATGCAACAACTTTAATACACAGCCTTTAAAATCAAAGATTGACTTTATGTTAGGGATCGCCGTTGCACATGAATGCTCATCATTGGTTTTTGGAACTACTTACACTAATTTCCTAACATGTGTTTTATTTCACATCTCATCAGTTAAGTTAAGTGAGGCTTGAATTCGTGCACACTTTTTAGCCATTCACTCGAACAAGGACGAAGCGATTAAAGGTTTTTTCACTAGCCCTCTTCCTGTTTTCGTTACATAATAAGCTTGTGAAAGTCGGTTCCACCTTCAACAGGAGGTCTGGTACCGTTATTTGATTAGGTGTTGTCGTCTCATCTCAGGCCAACGCAGAATTATCTTCTAATGTTGGCGACATGTTATAATTGTTCTTTAACACTGCTAATGCAATATTCGACAAGCCAATTTGCACTGAACATTCCGGTAATTGTAATACGAAACTGCTAGCACCGTTAATTTAGCGGAGAATCGATACTCTTCATCACTTAGCCGTGCTTTAATTAAATTGCATGCGCACAGCAGGACAAAAAGCACTTTTGCAAATGTGTCACAGAGATTTTCCAATGATTTGGAGAATGGTCCAGTAGAACTGAAAAGATGCACACACACGATGCTCCCGAAGTCCTCACTTGACATCACTTTTTGAGAATCCGTTGAATATCCCAAGGAGGTGTTTGTAAATCGCACCTCCTTGTTTAGTTCTGTTACGTTTGCCCGAAACTATAGAGAAGATTACTCGAATAACGGTACTAGATGCCCTTCTGAAAGCTAGAACATACCTTCTCAGGCTGATGCAAGAATATGACCAGAGCTCGAGTAGAGAGCGTAATTCACGTCAGTCACGTGCAGACAACAACTTAATTCGAAAGTCATTCAAGTCACGTTTGACCTTGATAAAAGCGTAAAAGCACACCAAAACATACGCTAGTAAATAAATGTAAATAGCACCAGAATCGTGGATCCTCAACAGCTCTTCTCCTTGAAAAGCTAATGAAACTCCTTCTTTGGGTTGACTTGGCAAAGTGTTGGTTTCTGTCGTTTTCGGCTACGCTGCCTTGGGGGTGAAGACCTGTCTGCTGCTAGTTGATCTCTGTTGGTCTTCACTAGCGTGGCGATTGGTGGCGGCAGCTAAACTTGACGAAACGTACATCCTGTGGGATGCTGGCATGGCGATTTGCTGTCGCAGATACTTTTCTCAATCGTAGTTGGTTTTGATGCCTTGACCACGTGTCGCGACCCACCCTCTCGTCAAACATGACCTTGCCGTGTCGGCGTGCAATAGTCCTTTCGATCCATGGGTTCTGCATAGGTCGATAGTCATGAACGCATACGGCTGTTCCGATTTCCAAAGGCGTGGTAGGTTTTGTACTCGGAGGCTCCGGCGGCTGTCCTGTAACGGAATCATTGTGAAATTTGTTGTCCGCTATTTGTGACCCATGAGTGCCTCAGATGGCGACTGTCGACTTGGTAGAGACTCGTTTAGCACTCTGCGATACACCAGCAGAAAATTCTGCAGACTTTCGACGGATGTCCTTCATTCTACAAAGGATTTTTGCAAATCTCGCTTCGATTAGTCGAAGAACATTTCCGTTGGACTGCGGGTGGTAGGGTGGGGAACGCATGTGTGCAATAGCATGCAGTCGACATAACGCCTTGAATTGTTGAGAGGTGAACTGCGATCCGTTGTCTGAGAAAATAATTTTCGACACTCCATGGCGGGCAAAAATTTGAGAGAGAAACTGTAATGTTCTCGATATTGTGTGGGAAATCATTTAGACAATCTTCGGCCATTTTGAATAGGCACTAACGAGCACAATGTATGAGACTCCGCTGATCGGTCCAGCAAAGTCGATGTGGATCCGTGGCCAGGGTTTTTGTGTTTGCGGCCAAAAGATTAAAGGAACGTTGGTAGGGTAATTGCCGGCATGCAGGCATTGATGGCAACTCTTGACTAGGTCTGCGATTTGCTGATCCATATTTGGCCAGTAAGCCTAGCTGCGGGCTATAAATATCATGCGACCTATGTCGGGATGACCAAGATAGATAGCAGCGGTTTGTGGTCTGTCAGCAGAGTGTATCTTCGGACATAAATGAGTTTGTGAAAACCAAAGCAAGAGCTTTTTTCTCAATCTGTCCGTAACGCTGTTATGTCGTTGTCAGCGCCCTCGATGCGTGCATTATGGCCTCTTCTGTGAGTCGTGGAAGACGTGGAGAATGACGGCTCCAATGCTCTTGGCGGTGCCGTCAGCTGCAACAACAATTGGCAGTTCTGGATCAAATGGGTCAGCAGCAGGTCCGAAATGAGCATTGATTCAACTTAACAGAAGGCCACCTCGCATTTATTGGACCAAACCCAAGGGACATCCCTTCCAAGCAAGCGGTTCAGTGGTTGCCGGACATTGTGCATGGAATGTAGAAAAACCAATAGCTGAATAGTCCCAAGAAGGAGAGCAATGAGGGAGCATCTTTGGGAGTCGGCATTTGTTGAACAGCCCGGACATTCTCAGCCTGCGGATGCTGACCAAAGGCGTCGAAGATACAACTCAGGTACTTAGCTAAAGTCAAATAAAACTGTTTTCCATAAACTGCTAAAAATCGGCAGGAGCAGTCTTGACTCCGAAGGGTACGCGGTTGTACTGGAACGAACCTCAATGCGTATTGATGGTCAGTAGTAGGCGGAAATCTGGAGCGACTTCCAGTTGTAGATAGGCATCGGGCAGATCAAGTTTTGCGAAGTATTTTCCGCTGCTCAGAATTGTGAATGGGTCCTCTGGGGCTGGTAGAGGGTCGTGGCGTGATTCCAGAGCTGCATTTAGACCAGTGGAGAAGTCTGAGCAATTTCGGATTAAACCATTGGCCTTCCTTACCACAACAATTGGGGCCAACCAAGCTGCAAATGAGACGAGGGATAGGACGCCATCGTGTTCA